TAGTGTGGTTGGCCCAGGATCGGACTTTGTTTCGTTCTGCTGTACATGGGGTTGTTATGAGTCGGTACTGACTCGATGGCAACTGACAACAACAACAATTTCACTCAGTATAATGTCCTTCAGGTTCATCCATGTTATGTGGTGTTTCACAGATTCATCATTATTCTTCAGTGTTGCATAGGATTCCATTTGGTGTATGTACCAAAGTTTGTTTATCCATTATTGTGTTGATGGGCATTGAGGCTTTATTCATCTTTTTACTATTGTGAACAGTGCTTCAAGTAACTTTCTAGTGTCCCGGCTTTTATTTCTTGTGGACATAAAACAAGTATAGGGAGTACTGGATCATACGGTATTTCTATTTCCAGTTTTTTGAGGAAGTGTCATACTGTTTTCCACAGCAAATGAACCATTTTACAGTCCCACCAGCAATGTAGGAAGGTTCCAGTCTCTCCACACTCTCACCAGCATTTGTTGTTTTCTTTCTTTTTTCAGTTTTGCTATTAATGCTGGTGTCAGATATCTCCTTGTTCTGATTTGCATCTCTCTGCAGGATAATGCACTGGACTGCAAGGTCAACTTGAAATACAAGGTCAGCAGTTCAAACTCACCATCCGTTCCTCAGAAACCTTATACAGGACTGCTATGAATTGGAACTGACTCAACAGCACTTAACAACAATGGCTAATAATGGTTAATACCATGATTATTCAAATTTATGCACCAACCACTAGAGCCAGTGATGATGAAATTGAAGAATTCTATCAACTTTTTTGGTTTGAAATTAATTAAAAATGCAATCAAGATGTACTGATAATTACTCATGATTGGAATGCAAAGTTTGGAAACAAAGAGTAAGGATCAGTAGTTGGAAAATATGGCCTTGGTGATAGAAATGATGCTGGAGATGGCATGAGAGAATTTTGCAAGATGAATGACTTCATTGCAAATACCTTTTTTAAGCAACATAAAAGATTATTATACACATGGTCCTCACCAGATGGAATGCATAGAAATCAAATTGACTACGTCTGTGGAAAGACATGGTAGAAAAACTCCATATCACCATACAAAACAAGGCCCGGGGAAGACTGGAACTGATTATAAATTGCTTATATGCAAGTTCAGACTGAAGCTGAAGAAAATTAAAACAAGTCCACAGACCAAAATATGACCTTGAATATATCCCATCTGAATTCATAGATCATCTGAAGAACATATTTGATGCATTAGACACTAAAGACCAAAGACCAGAAGAGTTTTTGGATGGCATCAAGAACATCATACAAGAAGAAAACAAAAGGTCATTAAAAAGACAAGGAAGAAAGAAAAGACCAAATTGGATGTCAGCAGAAACTCTGAAACTTTCCCTCCAGCGTAGAGATACTAAAGCAAATGAAAAAAATGAGGAGGTAAAAGAGCTGAACAGAAAATTTCAAAGAGCAGCTTGAAAAGACAAAAGTCAAATATTGTAATGAAATGTTATAAGACCTGGAGTTCAAAAACCAAAAGGGAAGAACACACTCAGCCTTTCTCAAGCTGAAAGAACTGAGGGGGAAAAAATCAAGCCTCGATTTGCGATACTGAAGGATTCTTTAGGCAAAAATTCAATGATGCAGAAAGCATCAAAATAAGATGGAAAGAACAGAGTACCAAAAAAGAAATGGTTGACATTGAACCATTACAATAGGTAGCATATGATCAAGAGCCAATGGTACTGAAGGAAGACATCCAAGGTACACTGAAAGCATTAGCAAAGAACAAGGCACTGGGAGTTAATGGATTAATTGAAATCTCTCAACAAACTGATATAACACTGGAGACACTCACTCATCTATACCAAGAAATTTGGAAAACAGATCCATATTTGTGCTCATTCCAGAGAGGTGACCCAAGGGAATGTGGAAATCATCAGACAATATCACTAATGTCACATGCAAGTAACATTTTGCTAATGATAATTCAAAAACAGCTACAATAGTATATTGACAGGTAACTGCCAGAGGTTCAAACCATATTCAGATGAGGACTTGGAACAAGGGATATCATTGCTGGTATCTGGTGGATCTTGACTGAAAGCAGAGAATACCAGAGAGATGTTTATCTGTGCTTTATTGACTATGCAAAAGCTGTGTGACTGTGTGGATCACGCCAAGCTATGTACAACATTGTGGAGAATGAGTATTCTGGAGCACATAAGGAAACTGTATATAGATCAAGAGGCAATTTGTGTTGGAAGAAATACAACCAGAAAGCTCCTTTGAAGCCAAGATGACCAGATTGCTCTCATACTTTGGACATATCAGGAAGGACCAATCCCTGAAGAAGGGCATCATGCTTGGTAAAGTGGAGGGTCAGCAAAAAAGAGGAAGACCCCCAACGAGATGGATTGGAACAGTGGCAGCAGCAATGGTCTCAATCAAGTACAGCAGCAATTGTTGAGGGCGGAGTTTCGTTCTGTTGTATACAATCGGAAACGACTCCACCACGGCACCTAACAATAACAATGGCTAATGATCGTGAACATATTTCCATGTTTGTTGGCTGCCTGAATATCTTCCTTGGTGTCAGCTAGTTGTCTCGCGTGGCTAAGATTCTGGGTACAAGAGGAGTAGGGTTTGTGTGATCCCCCAGGTACCTAGTGCCTTAGAAGAAAGTAGGGTCACGTCGCCGTTAGGATTTACGGAGATAGCCGTCTCTGGCCCACGGTTCCGCGGAGGTCAAGGTCTCGGGTCTGACTTGTGGTCAGATTTCCCGCCCTGAGCACGTGACTAAGCCGGCTCAGCCTTCTATTTTGCCTGGCTTGCGTACACCGTGTTCCCTGCCCCTTCGGAAACGCACGGCCAATGGAGACCCTGGGGCGGGCCTGGTGGGCAGGGCCGTTGTCGTAGAGAGGAGCGTGAGCCAGACACTGAGCTTTCCTGCGGGCCTGCGCTGGACCGGAGGGTCCCCAGCAGTGAACGAACGGGGGACAGACGGGAGGGGACGGCGTACGTGCCCTGCGTGAGTGCGTGGTTGCGGCGCCTGCGCGAAGCGAGTGGACGGTGTGGTGGAATCCACGTGCGTCCCTCCCCGCGACCCTGCGGCTTGGAGCGTACGACTCCATGAGCCGAGACCCTCCCGCACCCGCGCCCCACTCTGAGCGGCCGGTCCCATTCTCCCGTCCCGCAGGCTCTGTAGCCTGGGCCGGTGGTCCCTTATTACCATGGTGACTGTGGGCAACTACTGCGAGGCCGAAGGGCCCGTGGGTCCGGCCTGGGCGCAAGACGGCCTGAGTCCCTGCTTCTTCTTTACGCTCTTGCCCTCTACACAGATGGCCCTGGGGGCTCTGGCCTTGGTGCTGGCCTTTCCCTGCAAGCGTCGGGAGCGCCCTGCTGGCACTGACGTTCTGTCTTGGGGGGCCGGCCCTAGCGTCGCTCCCTATGGGCTGCAACTCCTTCTGGCCACGCTTCAGGTGGCACTGCCCTTGGCCGGATTAATCGGCAGGGTGGGCACCGCCCAGGGAGCCCCTCTACCGGGCTACCTATTACTGGCCGCTGTGCTGGGGACCCTGGCCAGCGCCTGTGGCCTGGGGCTGCTCATGATGGACCGGAGGCAGGCACGGCAGAGGCTGGCGATGGGCGTCTGGATGAAGCTCAGGCACAGCCCCGGTCTCCTGCTCCTCTGGACTGTGGCGTTTGCAGCTGAGAACTTGGCCCTGGTGTCCTGGAACAGCCCGCAGTGGTGGTGGGCAAGGAGGGACTTGGGCCAGCAGGTGAGGGAGCTGGTAGCCGAGGGGAAACTGCACCTGCCTGACCAGCCACATTGGCGCCATGCTTTGAGATGCCTCTAAAGAAAGAAAGGGAGGGGCTGGGTGCTGGCTGGAGCTGATAGCAAGCTGGTGGGGCCCGCCTGTGCTGAGTCACTGGTGGTTTTACTTTTTAAAGCCTGTTCGGGCGGTGCCGGGGCCCTGGGGAGGATCTGGGCGTGGCCTCCATACCAGTTCCCAGCCCTGTAATATGATAGTGATATAATGGAATATATGGCCCTCATGATACTCTGCTCACACGCTTCTGTTTCATTCTAGGTCCAGTTTAGCCTGTGGGTTCTGCGGTATGTGGTCTCTGGAGGGCTGTTTGTCCTGGGGCTCTGGGCCCCCGGACTTCGTCCCCAGTCTTATACCTTACAGGTGAACGGAGAAGACGGAGATGTAGAGAGGAGCCAGGTATACCTCCATTGCTGAGCCCTGGGGTCTAGCTTAATTTCATTCCTTACCATCGTTCTAGTCTGCTTCTATAAAGATTGACAACCTTGGAAACCACCCCGCCATACCCACCTACCCATCCCAACCCCCACTGCAGTTCTACTTTAACCTTAGGGTCTCTACCAGTCAAAATGGTCTACACAGCAGCTAGTTTGGTGGGTACCATCATTCCTTTTCCCTTACAGTAAACATCTCTCCCGAATCTCATTTTGGGACCTGTTAGCCTCTAGGACCCCATCTGGGATCACCTGGGAGCCTAATATAAACTGGACCGTGATCTCACACATTCTTTTCTAGAGGGTTTGTTTGTTTTTCCTGGCTAGTACACCTTTTGAATTCTGGGTTCTCCTCCCCTGTCTCTGCATCCTAGGTGAGGTCGTCAGAGCAGGCACAGAGATCTACCTGGAGAGACCTCTGCAAGAAGCTTCGCCTATTGAGTGGCTACCTATGGCCTCGGGGGAGTCCAGCACTGCAGCTGGTTGTACTCATCTGCCTGGGGCTCATGGGACTGGACCGAGGATTGAACTTGTTGGTCCCCATCTTCTATAGAGACATTGGTGAGGGGGAGGTTCTGGGAAGGGAGTGACAGCTTAGTACTCTGGACCTTTGTTGACCTGGTGGGTGGGGTAGCCCAGGGATGTGGGAAGGAGCTGAGTGGTGAGGAAGAGGCTATGACTGGTGCCTGGGCAGTTTGAGGAGCGTTCATAGCGGAGTTTGACTCCTTTTCTCTGCAGTGAACTTGCTGACGGCAAAAGCACCATGGAACTCCCTGGCCTGGACTGTGACCACTTATGTCCTCCTCAAATTCCTTCAGGGAGGTGGCACTGGCAGTACAGGTATGAAGGCTTTGCACTCACCTTGGGTACTGTTGACATGCTTGCTCACCACACCTCTGCTGAGCACCTCCCTTTGTGCTGCCAAACCTCACTCTTCCTGGTGCTGGGCTGACCCCACTGAACCCCAAACCCCTCTAAGGCCTCCCCTGGCTCTCCACAGGTTTCGTCAGCAACCTGCGCACCTTCCTGTGGATCCGCGTTCAGCAGTTCACTTCACGCCGGGTGGAGCTGCGCCTCTTCTCGCACTTGCATGAGCTCTCACTGCGCTGGCACTTGGGGCGCCGCACAGGGGAAGTGCTGCGGGTCGTGGACCGGGGCACATCCAGTGTGACAGGGCTGCTCAGGTAACCCAGGTGATAGGAAGGGCCCGGCAGCAGGGAGGAATGGAGAAGCTGCCAGAAGGGAAACAGACCCAGCCTGAGGAGCTGTCCCTCCCTCTCTGCTTTTATTATAGAATTAAAATGTGAATACTCTCATGACTCAAATAATGTGAACAGAGAACAAACCTCTTTTGAATTTTACTCACTTCCAGAAGTTCTCTCTCAATTTAGTATGTTGACCTCTGCATTTTTACACAGATAGAGCACTACCATGTTAGTATGGAGGATTTTCCTAAAACTCATAGTGTCGGGAGATAAGTTTATTCTCAGAACCATTTTCTTTCTTTGTATAAAAGGTGCAGCTTCCTTACTTAATGAGCCATCACAGAGCTAGTTTATTTTCCCTGTAATTGACAGATTTCTATAGTTTGGGCAGACTTTGGTGCATGTGGCATTCCTTCTTCAGGGGCATTTAGATTGATTGTAGTCTGTCACAGCTGTGAACACACCATTCCACAGAAACTCCTAGAAGTAGAATCACTGGTCTGAGCCCCAAAACCTTTCTCTGTTGCTTGACTTACCCTCCCAGCTACCTGGTGTTCAACATCATCCCCACGCTGGTCGATATCATCATTGGCATCGTCTACTTCAGCATGTTCTTCAATGCCTGGTTTGGCCTCATTGTGTTCCTGTGCATGAGCCTTTACCTCAGTGAGTGCTGGCTCAGTGAAACCTTCTCTCTGGACTATCCAGGGACTCCCTTGGACATGAGTCCCACATGGTGGGTGGGATGGAGGGCTGGGCAAGGTCAAAGAGAAACCTCTTTGTGACAAGGTGCCAGCTTGCTTACTGTTGAAAACATTTCACACATAAGCCTTTGTGCAGGCAGCAAAGATGGCTTGGGCCTAACCTAACTCTGCCTCTGGGAGCTTAAAGCTTTCCCTTTCTTCCTGTTATCTGGGCCACTGGGCTCCAGTGTAGATGGAATGTGTTTGCAGCAGGTAGTGGGCATCTCCATTGGGTCCCTGCTGTTGGGAATGAGGTCTTAATCCCGCCCCCTCCTGTTAATCTCCAGCCCTGACCATTGTGGTCACTGAGTGGAGAGCCAAATTTCGCCGCTCAATGAATACTCAGGAGAACGCGACGCGGGCACGCGCAGTAGACTCTCTGCTAAACTTCGAGACGGTAACAGAGGCTGTGGAGTCAGTTGTGTGAGGCAGGATGATCTGGAGTCCACTTAGGCTGATGAGGGTTTTCTGAGCCCCAGAGCTGGGGGCCTGTGAAGTGTGGGGTTGGAACTTGGGATTCTAGAGGGAAAGATCTAGGTGCGAGTGTTTGTGCCCACACTGAACAATGCTGGTCTTCACCCATCAGGTGAAGTACTACAATGCAGAGGGTTATGAAGTGGAACGCTACCGAGAGGCCATCATCAAATATCAGGTGAGGATGCCAGTCTGAGGCTTGTGGAGTGCTGGGCAGAGAGAGTCAAATTGGGACTGTGAGGTTGAAAGTTCCTGAGCATCCCCCAGATTTGGAGGTGGTAATGGTCAGTGTATATGTGACCTCCCTCCCTTGTGTTGCCCTCAGGGTTTGGAGTGGAAGTCAAGCGCCTCACTTGTGTTGCTAAATCAGACCCAGAATCTGGTGATTGGCCTCGGGCTCCTTGCTGGCTCCCTGCTCTGTGCTTACTTTGTCAGTGAGCAGAAGCTGCAGGTAAGGCAGAATCATGGGAGAGAGGCTGGGGTTGTGCCGGGGATGGGAAATAAGTCTGGGCATCACCAGGCTTCTGGGTGGGCTGTAGGCAGGGTGACAGGAGAGCCGGCTACAGCCCCAGTGACACGGGCCTCCATCCTGGGTTTCCACAGGTCGGGGACTTCGTGCTCTTTGGCACTTACATCATTCAGCTGTACATGCCCCTTAACTGGTTTGGCACCTACTACAGGTAATCAGATCTCCAGCCCTCACCTGGTCAGGGTGCAGTGGTGCTTTCCCGGCTCCTCAGAGGGGCACCCACTACCATCCTTCTCTTTACAGGATGATCCAGACCAACTTCATCGACATGGAGAACATGTTTGACCTGCTGAAAGAGGAGACAGAGGTGCGTGGAGAGAGAGTAGTAGTTCTGGGGTACAGGGAGCCTGGTTCTTGTGTCTGGAGAGTGCCAGGACTCTAATAGTGACACATGTTGGTGGCATCCTCCCAGGTGAAGGACCTTCCTGGAGCAGGGCCCCTTCATTTTCAGAGGGGCCGGATTGAGTTTGAGAACGTGCACTTCAGCTATGCTGATGGGTGAGCTCCTGCCCTTTTGCCTCTCTCCTTGTCTATTGGTCATTAGTTTCCTGCTCCTCAATCTAGGAAGAGAGGCTGAGTGGGGGCGGGACAGGGCCCAGTAGTGTTGGGATGGAGGGGGCATGGGGCGGGCAGCACGCCTTCTGATCACACCTTCGCTGTCTCCCAGGCGGGAGACCCTGCAGGACGTGTCCTTTACGGTGATGCCTGGACAGACTCTGGCCCTGGTGAGAGGATACCCAGCCACTTGGCCCAGACTCCTTGAGCTTTCCTCATTCCTCAGGCTGGGGAGTCTGAGAGAGCACTGTGATGACGAGTCACAGGACTGAATATGGCACCTCCATGGACATCAGTGGCCTCTTTGAAAAACCAACGTGTTCCCTCTGTTTTCCATGCACCAGGTGGGCCCCTCAGGAGCCGGGAAGAGCACAATTTTGCGCCTGCTCTTCCGCTTCTATGACATCAGCTCGGGCTGCATCCGAATAGACGGGCAGGACATTTCTCAGGTGAGGGAGCTTGAGAAGAGACTGGTATTTAGGAGACTGGAGTGTGGAGGAGGACAAGTGTTGGGTGTCCAAGGATGGCATGTGTGGTGCCCTGCCAACCCGCCCCCGTGAAGCAGGTAGAGGAGGTGTGTTTTCTTTTCACAGATCATGAAATGGCCTCGGGGTAGTTAGTGATTTGCCCACGCAGCTGGGGTTGGGGTGGTGGTGGCAGGATTCTTACCCAGGCTCATTAACCATGTGTCTGCCACCAGCCCACCCTGCCTCCTGGACCTGAGGAAGTCACACAGCAGTAAGCATATGGTCTTTTGGCCCTAGGTGACCCAGATCTCTCTTCGTTCTCACATTGGAGTTGTACCCCAGGACACTGTCCTTTTCAATGACACCATAGCCGACAATATCCGCTATGGCCGCATCACAGCCAGGGATGATGAGGTGGTAGCCGCTGCTCAGGCTGCAGGCATCCATGATTCCATTCTGTCTTTCCCTGAAGGTGAGGGTCCCCCTGCAGAGAGTCCCCCCTCCCCCAGCCCCACCCCAGAATAGTCCTGTTCATCCCCTTATCTCTATTCTAGCGCTTTCTTGTTCATCCGGTGACAGAAAGCCAAATTTATTATGTGTGACTTGAGGGGTGTGGGGGCTCTCCACAGGGTATGAGACCCAGGTGGGTGAGCGAGGCCTGAAGCTGAGCGGTGGGGAAAAGCAGCGCATCGCCATCGCTCGCACCATCCTCAAGGCTCCCAACATCATTCTGCTGGATGAGGTGAGGGTCCTCCGTAGTCCTCCCCCTCTGCCCTCTCCCCTACTCCTGCTGGGTCTAGTTCCCATGCAGCATAGAGAATGTGTGTCCAGGTTTCACAAAATACCTACTGTTCAAGGTCCAACAAGGTCCGGTTTATTCCAGAGGCCCAGCGACCACCTGCATCCTTCTTCCACTGTAAGAGCAGCTTAACCCAGACCCTCTCTTTAGGCGACATCAGCACTGGATACATCAAACGAGAGGGCCATCCAGGCCTCTTTGGCCAAAGTTTGTGCCAATCGCACCACCATTGTCGTGGCCCACAGGTACAGGGCCACAGCGCTGGGGCAGAGCAGGGTGAGACTGCTTAAGTGATGTAGGCTAACTAGTGTCCAACTTCTTAGGCTGTCAACTGTGGTCAATGCTGACCAGATCCTTGTCATCAAGGATGGCTGCATTGTGGAGAGAGGACGGTAAGGGACTTCAACAGAGGAGCAGCTGGGGTAGGGGGTTCTGGAAGGATCTTTTTCACCCATCCTTTCTGCCCTCTCTCTTGGCTGGCAGTAAAGACCCTGAGAATAATTGATGTTCAGGACTGTTGCTGTCTTCCCTGCCCCAGGCATGAAGCTCTGCTGTCCCGAGGTGGGGTGTATGCTGACATGTGGCAGCTGCAGCAGCGGGGACAGGAAGAAGTTTCAGAAGACACCAAGCCCCAGACCACAGCACGGTGACAAAAATTTTGGCCACTTCCCTGCCAAAGGACAGTTTAGAGGGAATAATATGGATGGATCCTTTTTCCCTGGGACATTTCATCCTGGTCTTGGCGTGTGGTGCTAGCTCAAGTCTGGGAAAGGGACCTTTCAGGAGAAGCATGTGAGTAAATAAAAGTATAGACTCTGCTGTGGCCACTGTGGCTCTGGGGCAGTGGGTACTGCGATGGCACTTGACCCTGAAGTCAGGCAAGCGTTCCGCACAAGACTCTTCAGGGACTGGCTGGAGAGGGCAAGGAAACACAGACACCTGGATGCTTGGTTGATTGCCAAAATTCTTTATTCTTTCCAGACTCCTGCTTACCCACATTATACGTGGGGGCAGTCCAAATGTAAGGGAAGACATGATGAAGGGGGTGAGGAGGACCTGGCCAACATCCAGCCAGGGCCCAGCTCAGAGCCACGCCCTCCCATGCAGCTGCAGAGCCTCTCAGGGCCTTCCGTAGCTTCCCCTGATGCTCCTGGAGAAGTTGCCATGTTACTCCTGCCTGTCTCCCCACTCCAGGTTGCTCTGGGCCTCCTCTCCATGTGGACCCTAGAGGTGTGAGGGCCACAGTCCTCCTCAGTTGACTCTCCCTCCCCAACCCCAGGGCCCTAGCACAGGCTGCAGGTAGATGGCTTCAAGCTGTGGCTCGGGGCCTAGGGCAAGAAGGAAAGGAGGGGGAGACAGGGCACAGTGTCAGAGAAACCAGGGACAGCCCTTCAGAGCAGTTCAGCATGGTTTAGAGTCACACTGAAAATAAAAGCATGACCATCATTCCAAATTCTTCACCAGCTGGAAGAAACCAAGTAAGACATGACTTGTCACTCCCTCGTCCCAGCATGCAGGCAGGCAGGCCCCGTCTTTACCCACCCTCATACCTGCTGCCGTCGGTACTCCGCCTCACTGGCTGAGAGTGCTTGTGCTAATGCTAAGTCTTCTTCCTCCTGAGAACTGAGAGGAAGGAGGAACAGCTGAAGCTGGAGGACATAAGTGTCCGAAGTGTGAGCAGCTGATCTGTGCTAGGCAGGACTTTGCTGAGCACTTCTGCACACTATCTAATCTTTGCTGCCATGCTACCAGGTGGGTTTTTTGTACGAGGGGCTTCAAAAAGTTGGTGGAAAATTCCATTATCTTGCCATTTCATTTTTCCATGAACTTTCTGAAGCCCCCTCATATTAGTGTTGTTTTAATTAATGTTATAGAGTTGATAAGCTTATATTTAAAACCAAATTCCTTATCCCATATCAAGTCAGAGTGGTCTGACCTCTTTCCCTCCTAACTGAGCCCTGGCCCACCTCCAACATTCCCTTCACCAGAAATAAGTACCTAGGAACATGGGGTTTAGTCTCTGCCAATGACAGTTCCAGAGCTCGTTGTAGAGCCTCATCCTCACTCTGCAAGAGGGGGGAAAAACGACTAGTTGCCACTGACTTCACTCTGGGTTTGCATCTGTCTATAACCTCTCCCCAACTCACCAAGCCATTCTGCAAAGCAATCACTGGAGGGGCTGTCCGGGATGGAGACTGGGTTGTGACTCTAAGGCAGACATTCAAGAGGTTGAGGTCAGAGGTGTGAAGGCAAAGACAGGAAGAGGAGAAATAGCCAGGCTTACCTGCTGGGAGAGGTAGATGAAGCCAAGGTCTGACTCGGGTTGGGGACGGTGCCTGTGGAAGAAGCCAGGCCTTGTGCTCTGGAGATGGCAGCAAGTCTGTAGGGAAGAGACAACTCTTTTAGCATGCCTCCAAACATATGCCGTTCACTTGTTCCCCCGGACATTACCCAGCCACCCAGGAAATCAAGAGGGGAATTCCTCCAAAGTCTGGGAGAACACCCTGGACTCTGCATCAGAAATGACAAATAGGAGCTTGGAAGAAAGACCCTCGGCCATATTTGTAACAATAGGACTTGAGTCCATTTCGGTAGGATGGGATGGTCCCAAGTTTACACAGAAGACTTGGCTTCAATTACCCTGCCCGGCTGGTAGGATGTCCCTCCCCAGAGCAATCATGGTCCAGTGGATGACGGTGCTTGATGCAGAAGTTTCGGCCACAGCGGTCACAGGTCAGTTTCATCATCTCCCGCTGCCGGCAGCCAGAGCGCTCACACTTATTGGTGAAGATCTGAGGTGGGGTGGGAAGGTTTATCTTGGCTGAGATTCTGACCTCTTTCCCCAACCTCAACACAGCAGCTTTCAGATTTCCAGGCATCTGTAGACCCAGTTTGGTCTGATCAGGGCTATCCCCGTCAATGCTTACCTTACGTTTTTTCTGTGCAGGATCAGAGCGACAGTCTCTGTCAATGTGCTCTCCCACAGCTCGGTCAGGGGGCTCCCCTCTGACCACAGGCACAGGCACATTACAAAGTGGGCACACTGGTACCTGGATATCCTAAGGTCAAGGGGCAGGGAATCAGCCTAAGGCTCACTGCTAGCTAGCTAGCCCAACCCAATTTCTGGTCCTCACAGGACCTTCCAGATCCAGAAGGTTCCCTAGTAATGAAAAACAATAAAGGAAGGGCAGAGGGCTTCCTGGGGCCTGCAAGCATTCTCTCCCTCTCCAGAGGACCCTCAGCACCGCCCCCTCACCTTTTGGTAAGCAGATCCACAGTGATGTTGGGCGTAGGCCACATGGTCTGCGCAGAAGATGCCTGAACAGGCGTCGCACTTAAGCGGCAAAAAATCTGCAAGGAGTGGGTCCGTTTACAGGCAGGTCCGCTGAGTCCCCGTGTTCTTTCCTATCTCTCAAAGTTCCCCATTCCGGGGAAGAGAAACGCCTTGACAGGCCAACTCCATTTGAAACAAACAGTACTATCTCCTTAGACACGCCTCCTCGGACACCGCCCCCAACTTTGAGCCCCGCCGCTCTCGAGCCTGGGCAGCCCGCGCCCACCCTGTGCCCATGCAGTTCAAGCCCCTTTCGGCCCCGCCCCTCACCCAAGCGCTGACAGCTTGGCTCGGAACAGTGAGCCCCGAGGTCCGGAAACTCCATCGCCCGGTCCTGGCGAGAGCCACTCAGAGAGGAAGCAAGTACTGAGCGTCTTTAAGGATCCCAATCCGGGTCAGGTCCGTGACCCCGCACCCTGTGGGGGCTCCCTTCCCGGTCTCAGTGCAGCCCCAGTTATCCGAGACCACAGCGCCTGCCGGCCCGCGACTCTACCTTTCCTTCCCGGCGCGCCGAGCGCGCTGACGTCATCACGCAGGGCGGGCACGTGCCGCACAGTGGCCGTAAGGGGGGCGGCACCCGCAGAGCCCCGCCCTTCTGGGCTCTCGGGAGGTGGGGCAAGCTGGCTTCCTTTCCTAAGGTGAGCAGCTGGCCGGGAATTTCGCGGATATCCTGGTTGTTGGAGAAGTTCCAAAAGGGATCTTACTGACTTCAGGGATAGAGAAAAGGCCCGGTGAATGCGAGGGCAGATGTTACCGTAGGAAAAGAGCGCTGGAATGGTGTGGAATCTCACAATTTGGTCCTTGACTCGTTTCTCACTCTATTACTCTCCTTGGATATTCACTTGTGGCCACTACACTGCACATTTGGAAGACAACTGTCAGGCCGACTGATTGGAAGAGATCAATATTTATGCCCATTCCAAAGAGAGGTGACCCAACAGAATGCGGAAATCATCGGACAATCTCTTTGATATCTCAAGAGAGTAAAGTTTTGCTCAAGGTAA